GAGGCTGCTGGTGAGTGCTCAGTCTCAGTCTGCAGACCCCCGCCCAGGGCCCTCTCCTCAGGGGACACGTTCAACCTCACCACCCCGCCCCCAAAGGCAGTCAGCCCAGACGCTGGCTAGCAAAACCTCGAGGAAACACAAACAAACAGTAAGTATGTGTGAGATTTGAAAACCACTGAAAGTAAGAATCACACAAATGTAAACGACAAGACTCCACCTTCCACTCCCCCCAACACGCCCAGATTATCCAAACTGAGAGAGATTGACAGCAGCCAGTGCTGGCTGTGGGTGGATGGGGGGGGGGGGCAGGCATCCGCCACTGTGGATTGCTACATCCTTTTTGGAAAGTGATTTGGCAGTATCTATTGGAATTTAGAATGTCTGCACTCCATGACCCTGTGATCCCACTTCTAGGAATTCAGCCTGTAGAAAGCATCTAGCCTCGAGTCTCTCTGCAGACAGACAGATGCACACCGGAAAACACTCGCACAAAACAGCACAGACATGACCCGATGCCCATCGCCTGGACACCAGCCAGGGGCAGGGAAGCCTGCTCCTAGTGTGGGATACTATACAGCTGTTTTTAAAAAGTGTCCCTTGGGTGGCTCAGTTGGTTGAGGATCACCATTTCCTGCACCAAAAGGTTGGGGGTTCAAAAAATTAAAAAAAGGAACCACATCGCTTCTGTGGTTCCTGTCCACCATACGTAGCTCTGAGAATAAAGCAAGAAAGGAGAGCCCTTATCTGCATGCATATGTAACAAAACCCTCCTGGGCCTGCACCGGGAGTGAGCGCTGCCTGCAGCAGGGTGAGCGCACAGTGGGCCTGCACGCAGCCCAGGGAACGACACACCAGTGGGAGGAGATGGCGGGGCTGGGAGCAGCGGGCAGGGCCGGGGAGCCCGGTGGGTCGGCCGGCACATCCCTCCCCTGCCCGTGTGGGCAGCAAAGGGTGTGGAGTCTTGTTCGCTGTCCCTGTGGTGACCGCAGAGGGCACTCCTGGCTCTCTCCCCCTGACCCCCGCTCCTTGGCAGGCTTTGGCCTGTCCCCAGTCAGCATTTTGGGTTTTCTTTACCCCCCCTTTTTTTTTTTTTTTTTTGTAAAAAGGCAAATGGTCCAGGCTAGTGGAACAGCAGGTGCCTTTAAGCCATGAATCCCTGCAGTCTGTGCCCCCGCAGCCCTTTCCCCCAATTTTAGAAATGTCTGCGGCCACCCTCCCCACCCCCGAAGGCCTGATGGGCTCAAGTTTCTGTTTCTGGGAACCGGAGCTGCTGGCTCCTGGGACTGACTTGACTTTCAGACCCCAACAGGGGCGGTCACTCAGAGCTTCCTCTTTGTCTTCAGCCTCTGGGCTTCTCAGAAGGCCGCCCCTCCACCCCCACCTTCAGGCCACCGAGGACCTGGCCGTGTTGGGGGCTGGGGAGAGGGAAGGTCCACACTGGAGAGGAGGGTCCGGAGGCCTGGGGCTGCCCTGGCCAAGGTCGGGCCCTGGGGATGTCCTGCCTGGGTCCTGGCACTCTCCTCAGCCTTCCGAGGTGGGTGTTTTGTCCCTGTTTTACAAATAAGCAAAGGGGAGATCAGAAAGTGGTGACGGGGGCCAGGTCAGAGGTGCAGCGATCTCTCAGGTTACCGCAGGCCCTGGAGTGGCTGGCCCTGGGGTAACCTGCCCGGGCCCACCCTGCAGACCTCTGGCAGGCCAACCGGGGCTGTACTCAGACTGACAGCAACGGTGGTCAACAGCTACGATGCAGGAAGCGGAGGAGGCCTTTGAGGCATGTAGACCCGAATGTCCTGGTGAGGCCCCGTCCCAGGCAGTGGCTGTCTGGGAGCCAGGGTGGTCCCAGAGCAGGGCAGCCAGGGGCCGGTGCCGGAAGGGTGCTTCTGGCTGGCCTGGCTGCCATCCGGACCCTCCATTTTCCCCGGGGCCCGCAGAAGCTGGTTTGGTGGCGTCTAGGAGAGAAGCTGGGTGACATCACCTGGCCAGTTTACGGTCCTCAGAAATCACACCTGCCCTGGAGAGGGAGGGGAGCCTCAAAGGAGTCCCTGGCCTTTCATCCGCCACTCAGCAGGGCTGGCAGAGGTGGGCTAGGTGCAAGGGCCGGGCTGGGGACCGGGGGCCACCCTTGGAGTCAGAGGCAGCTGCTGCTTCCTCCTTCTGCCCTGCCCTGAGCTCTGCAGACCCGGAGGGGAAGCTGGCTGTGGTCAGGAGGGCGGGGCTGCCTTGAAGTCCCCAAGCACAGTGCTAGGCTGGGCTGGCCAGAGAGGAGGGTCCTCATGTCACATGACCCCTGCCAGGGATGTGGGCAGGGCAGCCACCCCATGGGCATCCTGAGCTTCTCCTTTTCCTCCAGGGTGACCTTGACCGTTTCCTCTTGCTTGTTTCCACTTTCCTTCAAATCCTCCATTCGTCCTCTGCAGCCAAATTTACTGGTGTTTGTTTTTTGTTTTTAAGGTTTTACTTATTACTTAGAGAGAGGGCAAGGAGACAGGGAGAGAAACGAGGCCTGCCTCCCGGGCTCGTGCTCTGACCAGGAATTGGACCAGCGGCTTCATTTGTGGGACAACACCCATGCCAGCCAGGGCCAGGTTTACTGGCTTTAAATCCCAATTCCACTTTGGCCACATTGACTGTGTGACCTTAGGAAATGACTCAACCTCCCTGAGCCTTAGTTCTCCATCTGTAAAGTGGCCCCTCACAGGGCTGCGGACAGGAGTCCAGGCAGTGACACTCCGCGGGGCTCATGTGGCATCAGTCACTGTTAGGGGAGTCCCAAGACACAAACTGGGCCCTGGGCAATCAGCTGAGGCCTGGGGGAGGCCAGTGCAGATGGGCAGCTCTGGAAGGCTACCTGGAGGAGGGGGCAACAGAGGAGCTGGTCAGCCAGTAACTGCCAAAATGGGAAGTTGGAACCTCAGGAAACCACTGCGCAGTCATGCAGCCCTAATTTAGACTTCATGGGCGCCCTGCCTGGGCTCCACACCACAGCTGAGCGGCCGGGAAAAGAGGAACCCCGCACCTAGAGAAGTGGAAAATCAAGATCTCCCCAGGGAGCAATTAGGGGTGGTTCAGGCCCAGTGTCACCTGAGGGGGGGGGCTGGGTGAAGCCGAGTCTCCTGGAACAGAGGTTACAGAGGTGTGGATAGGGCTGGGTTGTCGCACATGTTGAGAGCAGGCGGCAGGGAGGCCATGCTACAGCCACCCAGGCATCTGGTGGCCGGAGTGCTGGCCCCACAGGTACATGAACCCACAGAGGGCAGGAGGCACCGAAAGCCTCTCACCTTCTGACCCCGGGGCTCCCAGACCCAGGCCCAGCTGGGCCAAGGGCACAGAAAGGCTGAGGTAAGGCACCTGGGTCTCCACCATGGACTCCCAGGCACCCATGGCAAGGGCCACAGACTGGCCAGTCCTGGCCCCAGGGGAGGGGCTGGCTCTGCAGAGGCCTGGCCACTCCCATTTTACCAGGCTGGAGCAGCTGGGCCTTCAAAGTGTGGTCTAGGGTCATTGCTAACTGGCCCTGAGTTAAGGTTGCAGGCTAAGCCCCAGGATAGCGGGGTGGACTGGCGCTTCTCTAATCGAGGTCTCCAGTCCCAGGGCTAACAGGACAAGCTCTGGCTGCAGAAAGCTGAGTGCCCCAGGCAGACAGTCTGGGGCCCCTCTCCCTGCACTCCGCCCCTCACTTCCCACAGGAGCCAGCTAGGAATCCGCCTTGCTGAGATACTCAGGAGAGCCTCACCTTCCCTTTTTCTGCCCCTCCCCCAGCCCCCGGCTCCATCCCCACTGAGCCCACAATGCGCCCAGGTCCCAGTTCATCCAGCTCTCCTTGCACCCTGGGCCCTAAGGGAACCCAGCGCCGCCTTCCTCCGGTAAGCAGCTTTCGCCCTCCGAGGCTGTGGCCCTGCGGGACAGGCCTGGGAGGAAGCCACTTCGCAGACGCCGCCAAACCCCTAATCTCCTGCGGCCTCGCTGACCCCAGCCAAAGCCTTCTGGGACGACCCTCTGCCCTGCGACCCTCTTCCATGTTCTGGAAGGCACCCCGGAGCCCAGTCAGGGGTGTTGTAGAGTGTTTTGCAGTGACAAAGCGTCCACGAAAAGGGTCCTCCTGGGGGCAGCAGGCGGCGGGCCGGCCGGCTGGCCCTTGGCTGCAGGGCTGCCCAGGTCCCTGCCTGGTCGCAGCTGCGGCGGTCGGCTCTGGAGATCGTGGGATGTCCTGCGGCTCTCCAAGAGGCTCTCCCAGCGGCTAGTGTCAACTCAGGAAAAGCACGCCTGCGACCTGGGGGGGGGGGGGGCCCGCGCGCGGCGAGGCGCCGTGACGTCATCAGTAGGCGCCGCGCCGGAGGCGGAAGAGCTGCAGCCGCGGTACCCCAGCCACGTGCGGAGCCTCCCCGGCTGTAGTTGGTCAGGCAGTGCAGGTGGGACTCCGGGGGGCCACGCGGCTGTGTGCGGGCCGGGGGCGCCCGGCGGACCTGGTGCGTCCCTCAGCCTCCCAGCCCGGTGCAAGCTTAGCCTGGCCTGCTCCCCCTCTGCACGGGTCGGGCCGGTGCATCAGTTTTAAGTCCGCCAGACGTCCCCACCCCTCGCCTCTCCTGCATCCCCCTGCCACCATCCGCCCAGAAGCCCGCCTTGGGGGAGGTTGGGGTGAGGAGTTTTCTTTTGAATCTAACCTGGAGCCGAGGTGGCTTCTCACGACCGGAGAATGGGTGCCAGGCCCCAGGAGAAGGGCGATGAGGGCGTCAGGTCCTGACTTTATGGGAAATCTTGCTGTTGCCTGACCCCCATCTCTCCATCTGTGATTTGGGCTGATGGCTTGTGCCTCATGACCCAGACCAAGAAGGGCTTCAAATGCCGATCCTGTTCAGCCCTACTAGGCTCCCCAGGTGGACTGAGCCAGGGCTTGAGCCAGCCACCCCACCCCCACCCCATGGCTCAGGATCTGAGAGCCACCAGGCACATCCCGCCTCCCGGCTCCTCCACATGCTCATGACCCTCTACCTCCTCCCAAGGCCTCGGCACCACCGGACAGCAGCACCATGAGCTTCGTGGCTTACGAAGAGCTGATCAAAGAGGGCGACACGGCCATCTTGTCGCTGGGCCACGGGGCAATGATGGCGGTGCGAGTGCAGCGTGGGGCACAGACCCAAACCCGGCACGGTGTCCTGCGGCACTCAGTGGACCTCATCGGCCGCCCTTTTGGCTCCAAGGTGACCTGTGGCCGAGGCGGCTGGGTATACGTGCTGCACCCCACGCCTGAGCTCTGGACACTGAACCTGCCGCACCGCACCCAGATCCTCTACTCCACAGACATCGCCCTGCTCACCATGATGCTGGAGCTGCGGCCCGGCTCTGTGGTCTGTGAGTCCGGTGAGTTCCTCGGTGCTGCCTTGGAAGTTGACAGGAAGGCGGAGGTCAGCCCCAGTGTTCGGGCAAGGTCCAGCAGGCCCTTCCTGAAGACAGGCATGCTACTCGGTCTCTGTTTTAACGGGACTATTTTGGGGAGCTCACTGCAGGGACGGAGGGCAGAATTAAGGAAGCCGGTCAGGTGGCTGGCGCTGTAATCTGAGAGTCGATGGGATCTGACCAAGGATGGGTCCGAACGAGGTGACCCTGGCTGGGGCCACTGTGTTGCTTGGTGCTGACCGCCATTCCCTAGCCCTGTGATGCAGGCAGAGGGTGGCTGGCCCAGTGTCACAGACTGCTGCGAGAGGGGGCCCCAGGCCAGGGCTACTTGGAGGTGCTCAGGGTGCACGGGGAGCCTGCCCCATGCACATCCCCAACCAGTGCCAGTGTCACGGAGCCCAGGCACTGGGATGGTCGAGGGTGGACGCTGCAGCCTGGCCAAGAACAGCCCAGGCTTAGTCGCCCCAGCTTCCCAGATGTTCCTTATGGGCAGACAGCTGGGGTCAGGAGTCGCGAGGAGTCCCCAGCGCCACTGCTGCCAGCTTTCCAAGGGCCAGCGGCCACCCTGTCCCTCTCTGGACCGCATTCTCTCCATGTGGATGGTTGGATGGTCCTTGCTGCCCAGCCAAACACTTCAAACGGGAAAGAGTCAGACGCAGGCCGAGGCTTTGGGCCAGGAGTGGGTGGGCTGGGCACAGGCCAAGTCCTCAGCATGAGGGCCCAGGGTGCCGGTGGCAGGTGGGCAGCAGAGCACAGGCGGTTCCAGCCCATCCCCTGCTGCGCCTACAGTCAGTGGGCACGCTCTGGGCCCCTCTGGTGCGCTGGCTCTCCTCTAGGGACCGGAGGCACAGCCCTGGACAAGACAGACCCGATTTCTGCTTCTCGGTGGGACTGTTTCTGCTTGAGGCTCGGGAGACAGGGTTGTGCGTTTGGGGCACTCAGAGCAGGGTCCCTGCAGCTCTGGCGGTCAGGGGAGACCTGTCTGCAGAGGGACACTGAATTGGAGATGAGAAGGAGGAGGTATCTGTCAAGAGCCAAAGGTGAATGTCACCCTGAGGGGAAGCACATGGAGGCCCCTGGTGAGGGGCACACAGAGGCCAGCATGGCAGGAGGGAGCCTCGAGGCCGGGGAGGGAGCGGCCCGGGCTCAGAGCATCATTAGGAGTCTGACTCCACTCCTCGTGGAGAGGGAACTCGGCCGGGTTGTGCGGAGAGAGCCAGCCTGGTCCGATGGGGCTGTGGGGGCGATTGCAGAGTCAGGAGGGAGGGGCCCAGGCGGACTTGGCAGGCAGGTGGGGACAAGACAAGTCGTGGGTCCCAGAGAGATGTGGAAGAAGTTCCTGGTGGATCAGATGTGGGTGGGAGAGGAGAGAGTCTAGGGCGCCTCACAGCGTCTGCTGAGCAGTGGGTGTGGTGGGTGGGGTTGGGGAAGGCTTGGCAGGGAGTGGACTTGCCGTCAAATCTGGCCGCGCTGTGCACTGAGCTATGCACTTGTCAGTGCCGAGCTCTGGGTGTCGCAGGGAGGTGGCGAGTGTGCAGGGGGTGCTGGGTAGGAGTCAAGTGGAGGAATGTGGCTCTGGGGAGTCGCCATGAAGTAGGCGGCAGCTACGGCTGTAGGGTGAGGGGAGGTCAGGGGGTGGGTGGGGGACCCAGGCCCCAGCCAGGCGCTGCAGGACAGGGAGCCCAGCAGAGGGGCAGCTGTGCGGCAAGGAGAGGAGCTCCGTGACAAGCTGGTGTCATGGTGCCCGGAGGGGCAGCAAGGCAAGGGCAGAGGAGGCTGGGGGACAGAGAGATGGACCAGCCTGAGTGGGCATGAGCTCAGAGACTTGGGGACGAGCCTCCGTGTGGAAGGCGATGGGACAGACCCAGGCCACTTTGCTCTGAGCAGACACTGTGGAGCCTTGGGCCAGTCCCAGCCTCTGGCAGAACCCAGTCTCCAGGTCCGCGCAGTGGGGTTTGCTCTCGTGCTGGTTCTGGGCAGGGCAGACACGTGGTCAACTCCTGCTTGCCCACCCCAGCCCAAGGCCAGAGGGCAGCCAGGCTGAGCGGTGGCACTGGTACCCAGGGCTGGCTGGCCCTGCGGGCTCTCTGTGGGTCACTCGGGGCTCTCAGGGTTGTTTCCTGGGTGGACCCAGGAGTCCTGCCCGACACCCGTCCTGTCCCCCAGGCACTGGCAGTGGTTCCGTGTCCCACGCCATCATCCGCACCATCGCGCCCACGGGCCACCTGCACACGGTGGAGTTCCACCAGCAGCGGGCAGAGAAGGCTCGGGAGGAGTTCCAGGAGCACCGCGTGGGCCGCTGGGTGACTGTTCACAACCAGGATGTGTGCCGAAGCGGCTTCGGCGTGAGCCACGAGGCTGACGCTGTCTTCCTGGACATCCCGTCGCCTTGGGAGGCCGTGGGCCACGCCTGGGACGCCCTCAAGGTTGAAGGTGAGTGGGATTCTGGAGGGGGCGTGCCCTGGGCCCTGAGCCGGACCTGGCCGCACGGCATGGGGCCCGAGCAAGGGGTCCCATGGGCTGGCTGGGCAGCCTCGGGGGGAGCCAGTGGGGGCTGCCAGTGGGGGCTAGAGGAAGCAGTTATGTGAGAACGGGGCCCCAGCTGGGCGCCTGCTGGGTGGGAATGTCTGGAGCCCTGGGGAGTGTGGCAGCCCCTCCTGTGGGGGAGGCAGCCCTGTGTAGCAGGGTGTGCCAGAGGCCAGAGGTCAGCCCCTGACCCCAGCAGTTCCCTGCAGAGTCGCCCCTCCCCCCAGCCAGGAGCCAGGCAAGCTGGCCCCTTTTAGGGAAGAAGTTGGTGCAGAGGCGGAAAGCGGGCTCGGAGCCAGCAAGGCACTGGCTGGGCTCTGGGTCTTTCCCTTTTCTGGAGAAGGAGCCGATCGGGCAGCAGCCCCCTCCCAGCAGCTGGGCCTGCACTCAGGCGGGGTGGGGAGGGGCTGCCCTTTGGAGAGGCAGATGCCCGGTGGCTCCTACAGCAAGGCAGTGGCCAGCGGGTCCCCTGCCAGCTGTCTCAGGCTCGCTCTGGCCTCCCAGGTCTCTGGGCTCTGCCGAGGGGGCCGGGGAAGGGGTAGCCCTGACTCCCCCGCATCTCCGCCCTCCCCAGCTTTGCCCTGATACCAGTGCCCCTCCCTGCCCACTGCTCTGTGGACACTGGCGGGTGCAGGTCCCAGTTCCAGAGAGGCCAGAGCTGGCTGCCCAGCGTCCCCCTGCTGTGCACTGAGACTCCCCCCTGCTGAGACCCCACACTGGTCGCTGGCTGTGGTGCCGTGTGTCTGCTGTGCCCATCCTCCTTGTCCCTTTCAGCCCCTGCTCTGGGCCCTTTTTCCCTCTGGATCTGCTTGTTCTGGCCCCAGAGATTCTTGACTCACTCTCTCGTGGGGCCGGCGTCTCCCAGCAGTTTCCAGCAGCCCCCCCCCCCCCCGCTGCTGCACGAGCCCAGCCTAGTGAGGTGCGGTTTCTCCTCTCTGGACCTCGGGCTGGCCAGCAGCCTCAGACCCTTGCCTGCTGGGGCCTCAGTTTCCCTGGCAAGGTACACAGGGGCAGGGTCCCCCCTCTTGAGGGTGACACCGTCTCCTCTCTGGGCTGGTGTCCAGCTACACAGGCCTCCTCTGAGCCCAGACCACCCTGCATCCCTGGCGGGTCAGGGCTGCGGTGACCTCACCTCACAGGCCCTCGAGGGCTTGCCGGGTCACACCCCTTCCTTGCCCTGGTGTCCCAAACTTTCCCTGCCAATGTCGGGACCTGGGCTGGCTCTGGACAAGGCTGAGGGGCATGGTGGGCACCCCCACTTCGTCGCTCTCAGCCTTGGGGCCCAGCTCAGAGCAGGCACCTCCAGTTCTAGGAGCCGGTGACAGCCTCTAATTTCCCTGTGACGGCAGTGCCCCCACCCCGCCCCCGCCTGTGCCTGCGTGTGTGGTTAGAGACACGTGGTGAGGGATCTGTGTGGCAAAAGCTGTTGTGGGCCCAGCATGCCTGCGGCTGCCACGTCAAGACCCCACCTGACCCCAACCCAGCTTTTGCCCTGACCCCTGACCCCAGCTCTCTGTGGCTGAGTGAGCCCACTGCCAGCCCCAGGGCCTGGCCCAGCATCCACTGTCCTCACTCTCACTGGGTTTGTTTTTTCACCAGCACCCCCACCTAGAAGGGTGGAGGGGTGCACCTCCCGGCCACACACACCCGTCCCGAGGAGGCCGCCCCGCAGGCCAGGTGCTGGCAGGCTCCCTGCCCTGACGCCCTGCCCCGCCCCCTGCAGGTGGGCGCTTCTGCTCCTTCTCGCCCTGCATCGAGCAGGTGCAGCGCACGTGCCAGGCGCTGGCGGCCCGAGGCTTCCTGGAGCTGAGCACGCTGGAGGTGCTGCCGCAGCTGTACAACGTGCGCACAGTCAGCCTGCCGGCGCCGGACCTGGGGGCCGCCCCCGGCCCCGACGCCGGCCCCTTCCGCAGCGGCACGCCCATGAAGGAGGCGGTGGGCCACACTGGCTACCTGACCTTTGCCACCAAGACCCCTGACTAGTGGGCTACGCACCAGGAGACCCAGGCAGGAAGGCGCAGCCTGCCGCAGGCCACCTTGTGTGGGCAGTGGACGCCGCCGCACCCATGTGTCGACGGGCAGTGGGGTGGGGCGGGGCGGGGGCTGGAGGCCTCCTAGGTGGCTGAAGGGGGTAGCCGGCCCCAGGCCTCCGGTCCCCAGGGAGGGAGGCCTCTGCCCCGTCTCCTCTCCTGCTCATTGCCATGTGAAGTCCCCACGACCATAAGGTTTTCCAAGTGCTGAAGCCCAGGGGTGCGGGTGGTGGGGCCCAGGTCTCACCCCTTCCCAGGTGGCCCCGCACAGGGAGGGAGGTGGGGGAGCAAAGACTCAAGGAAGAGGGCGGGGGGTTGGTGCTGCCATGGTCCCCAGACCCCCAAGGCCCAGCTGCCACACCAGTTCTGTAGACCAGCCCGTCTCCGGGTCAGCCCTGCCCTGGCCTCTCCGCCACCATCCCAGGTGCTGGCGGGGCCAGGCTGGCCCAGCGCCCAGGGAGAGGGGACCCTGCTACGCTCCCTGCTGCCCAACCTGCTCCTGAGGGGGAGGGCGGCTGCCTTCCCTCCAGTCCAAGGAGCGGCCCTGCCTACCTGCCTCATGTGCCCCCCCCCTCCTGCTCTGTGCTGTGGGGCTGGGGTCCCTGCCCGCCACTGTGCATGAAGGGCCTCTGCCTCCCCACATAGGCCGGGAAGCCCAGGGCACGGTGCCTGCGAGGGGTTGGCCCTGACTGTGCCTGGTGCAGAAATAAACACTGTGGCCCTGCGTGCCGACTGGTTTCTGGGGTCCCAAGAGGCTAGAGCCCCGCCCCAATTGCCGCACCCAGGCAGGACCCTGGTGTGCACAGCCCTCCTGCCGCTGGTCCTCTGGTCCCACGACAAGCGCCCCAGGGCTCCAGACTGCAGGGCCAGGTCTTAGCCACCCGGAACAAAGGAGCAAGTGTGTGGCCACCCCCATCAGGCTGCAAAAAGGGCCACTTGTCCCTGGGGTGGGTGAGGGAGAAGGGAGCAAGTGGAGTGTGGCCCTTGGGCCCCAGAGCTCTGGGTGCCCTGCTGCCTCCCGCGTCCCCTGACGGGCCCCAAGACCTGTTACTCTGGCCCGCGGCCACCCCGGGGTGTTGTTGGTCCTTGGAGAGGTGCCAAGCGAGGCAGGCCTGCGGGAGGCCCCGTCTCCCTGTGTCAGTGTCCCCAGGCTAGGTGGCTTCCCTGCTCCCCTCCCCTGTGCAGCCTCCTGGGAAGACCTTTGTCCACTTTTGTTCCCTCAGGGTCTCTCAGAGTCCCTGGAACCAGTAGTCCTGCCCCAGGGCTCCCACCCCCACTTTCAGGGCCTGCCCTGACCGTGGACCAAATGGCTGGCCTAGGGGACGGAGGAGGGATTTGGCCTCGCCCTGGCCTTTGGGCGAGGCCTGCGGCGTGTCCGCTGCTGGCAGGCTTTCCAGGGCCTACAGAGCACCAGGCCGGCCCCCCGTGCACCCTTCAGGGCCCCTCTCAACCTTGTCTCCGCACCGCCCACTCCGGGGCAGGGGCATCCTGCTCTGTACCCACAGGCCTCGGGCTGGCTCACGGGGCTGCCAGCCTGCAGGCTGAGGAGGGGGCCCAGCTATACCCAGTTCTGCAGGTGGAGCCTGATGCCCGGAGAGGCAGAGCCAGTGAGTGACCAGTTGTCACACCAGTCACCGAATCAACCCCCTGGGGCTGGTCACAGGGCAAGGACTCAGCCGGCAACTCCCCTGCCTGTCCAGACACTCGGAGGCCCTCAGTTTTCCCTTGGAAATCCCCACACCCTGCCCTGTGCCGCCCCGCCCCCTCCCTGCCCCTGCTGAATAGCCGAGGCATGTGGTGCAACTCTCTGGGGCCCTCGGGGCCCCAGGCCAGGGTCCCACCCCAGCGCCTGGCTTGAAGTCCAGGACACCAGCTCCCGCCACCTCCCCCAGGAAGCCCCACCCAGCCTGGCCTGTCTTCCTCAGCCCTGGTGCTGGATGCTGGTCCTCCCTGATCTGAGCCTGTCTGTCATCCAGGCCGCGTGCCTGCTGCCTCTGGCTGGTGGGCAGATGGGCTCCTACCCCACCCGAGTCCACTGCACAGGTGGGGAGACAGGCCCAGAGGAGGTTCCGCTACGGGTCCAGGCCGCCACACCCCCGCCCACCCAGACCTCCCAGATCAGAGGCCCCTGCCCAGCATGTCCCCCTAGGGTGTGGCCCAGGCCAGAACGGGGAGAGATTCCTGCTGTCACGTAGGTAGGCTCAGAAGAGGGTGCTATGCAGGGCCCGGAGGGGATTGTGGACGGTGGAAGAGGGTGAGCAGGCCTTCGGAGGCCGGGGCAGGCAGGCGGCAGAGACCGACAGGCGGCAGAGACCTCGGACCAGCAGGAGAAGCCCCCGCCGCCTGCCCTGCTTGCAAGGCCACGAAGCACAGGCTGGTCACCGGGCCCAGGGCTGCCCTGCCCAGGGGCCATTAGGCTTACTGCCAGCCAGATCATGTCCTTGTTTCCCCTCGGGGCTCCCGATGCACTCCAGGGGAAGTGTGCTGTTGGGGTCTGGATGTGCCTAGTCCTCCGGACTCGGGCAGTGGGAGTGAGACGAGCACCCTAAATGCCTGAGCCCCTGCACCCTGGGTCCGGCAGGTCAGGGCAGCCTTGGCTGAGGGGCTCCCCGGGACCAGGCAGTCAGGTGGGAGCAGCGCAGGGGAGGGGTCGGGCCCTGGGCCTGGAGGGGTTACAGACAGTCAGGGAGGCCTCCTCACCAGGAGGTGGCCCCTGCAGTCACAAGAGGAGGGTGACAGCCAGGCCACACTCTGCCCTGGGGGGGGGGGGCAGGATGTGAGCCAGTGAGGGCCTTGGGCCTGCCTGGGTCACTGCTCCCCTCTGGCAGGGTTGGGCCAGAGAGAGATGAAGTGCCACATCAGTCACAGGCGTGCTCACGGGCTGTCCCCAGTTGTCACCTTTAGTGGGGCTGCTGCCACCTGCTCCTCAGGAGCCCCTCACTCTGCATAGCAGATTCCAAGGCCAGAATTTGGGGGCCGCTTCTGGGTCCATCTGACACTGCCTTTTGTGCTTTGAGGCACTTGAATAGCTTTTTGCCTCGGGTGTTTGAATAGCTCATGGGGAGAGAGGACCGGATGTGGGGACTTCTGGCAAACGCAGGTCATCTGGTCACTGTGTTTAGTTAATTGCATAATAAAGCCACGAACGGGGAGCCTCCGGCTGCGGGGGGGGGCGCTGTGGCTGACCTCCACAGCTCCCGGGGCTCTGCGTCTGCGCGCCCTCCCCACAGACGTGCTGCATAACAAGCACCCCCCCCCCACTTCCGAAAATCATCTCAGACGCCTGAGGCAGCCGCCGGCTCCTCTGGGGCCTGTGGCCTGGCGGCTCTTGGCCGACCTCAGCCAAGCCCGTTCACAAGTGGGGATAGAGATGAAGTGTTCCCCTCCAGAGAGTCGGGCACACCCTCTCATGTTCTCCACACGCCAAGGGTGAGGCCGGTCATGGGGCCATTTTCAAGCCGTTGCTCACATGGCCCAACCTCGAGGCAGGGCCTGGGGAGACCTGAGGTTTTAGGGCGGGGCCCGTGGCCATAGGCACAGGGGCGGGGCGCAGTGGCAGCGAGTGAGGTGCAGAGCGGGTCCCCAGCAGGAGGGAAGGGACTGCAGGGCCCGGCCGGCCGGCCAGCCTGGCCGCCGTCCCTGGGCTGCGTCTCTGTGCCCAGCTGAGGGCATTTCAAAGTCAGGCTGCCTGCGGAGGGCGGCATCAGCCGGAGGGAATTACTCAGCTCCCACCAGGCCAAGAATAGCTCGGAACTGGGTCACTCTAACCAAGCGTTCTGGTCACAGCCTCCAGCCTTTGAGGATAATCGGCTTCCTCCCCGACATCTGTCCCTTTAAAGAGGGGCAGGCCAGGAGTGGGCACAGTGTCCCCATGTTGGAGACAGGGACAGGGAGGGGAGTGTGTTTCACCGCTGTCCTTCCGTCCCTCCTCCTGCTTCCTTTGTTCTCCTGCCCCTGCCCGGCAGGCACCCCCCGTCCTGCCCGCCTGGCTCACTGGGACCACCAGCCCCCACACATGGGCCAGGTGGGGTCGCGCCCCAGGAGGTGAGGCGAGCTGGCCTGCCTCAGCCCGGACGGTGGAGCGCCCTCCCACCAACGCCCCCCTCCGACCTTGCCCTCCATGTGCCCTCCACATGCCCTCCAACACCCCAGGCCCCCTCCTCTGAGTCCCTCCTGCGTGCTCCTTCCTCTGAGGGCAGATCGAGGCGGTGGTGGGAGTGGGCCAGCCTGCCTCTCCGAGGCCCCCCCCCCCTCCGGACCCGAAGCCCTGTTGCCAGGCCGCCTCTCCTTCCCACACCGACCACACGGGGAGTTGCGGCCCTTCCCTCCCCACAATGTCTCCCGTGGGTCCGCCCCAGCGCTGGGCACAGGGCAACCCTGTTGGTCCTGCCCTCGGCCCTGGGACCCTTCTGGCAGCCCGCCCCACACGGCCAGCAGGACTGAGGGTCCAGAGCCCCAGGACAGAAAGCCTGCGTCCTGGGACTCAATGTGGAGCCGGGTCCCTGGCTGCCTGACCTCAGACACTTGCGTTCGGAGGAGAAGAGATGCTCTGGCCTTTTGACAGGATCCAAAGCTCCGCCTCCCCCACTTCCTGTCTCCATAGCAACATCACAGTGCACCCTCCCCTGTGCGCGGTTTGCCAAGCCGGCGGCAGGCAGCAGGCGGTTCTCTGTCCTGGCCTTGAGGCCTCTGCTGGCCACCCTCGTGGCCCACGGTGCAGCCCCAGATGTGACCCCGGCTGGGTGCTGCCAGGTGCCCGCCCTGCACAGGGTTCTTGGTGCCGCAGTAATGGGACAGCTCACCTGCCGGCTTCTCTCCCTCCCAGGGACCTGAGAGCTGTACTTGGGTGGGGTCCCTGGATGGCGGTGCCCCCTTTCCAGGGGGCTACTTAGGAGGCAGAACCTGGGCCCCCTCCCAGACCTCCTGATCAGAAAGTGCATGTTAAGTGCATTCTCCCAGAGGGCTCGAGCATCAAAGTGAGAAGCAGAGAAAGGCCTGGTCAGCTGGTCTGTGTCCATCTCCACCACTCGAAAGCCCGGAGCAGCTGCCGCCTGTTAGGAGTGTCCCTGTCATTCCCTGCTGCTCTTTCCTGATGTCTTACCCCCCAGGTAGCCTGAGGGGGTGATGTCACGGGTCCTTGCAGCCCACTTGACCTTGTCACCTGGGTACACTGCTACCAAGTGGCCCATCAGGATGCCAAAGCCATGCTTTCGACAGTGTAGCGGCCACCACCCACCCAGCGGCGTCGTCTCTGCCACACTTGTCCCAGGAGCTGTTTGGGGCTCTTTGATCTTTACAAACCCAGAACTGTTCCAGGTGACAGACCGACCCACTCCTCAGCCTTCTCCACAGGCACATTCATGACGGGCGGGCTCTGCAAATGGGTCACCTGGCTGCCCAGTGACATGTGGTTCTCTGCCCCAGAGCAGCTGATTTGGCGCCTGGGGGTGGGGCAGCCCCGCGGTCACCGCCAGGGGGACCAGAGCCTCTCAGGTGTCTTCTTTCCTTCCTTTGATTTCATGAAACAAAACACACCTTTATGAACTCAAGCGGCTCGGTCGGGACTCTGGGAACCTGCGGCACTATCTGTGCTGTTGTTCATCAGAACTGAAACCCCCTCCGTTTGGTGGTGGCCTTTGCTGGGGTCCCCCCGCCCCTCTCTCAAGGAGCCATTGTGTCCCCTGGGGGGCTCCATCTCACAGGTGCCCAGGACCCAGGTCTCGA